TATATATATATATAATAAATTGTTGTATGGAACAATGTATGAAATCTATAATTTTGCTCTATTGTCAAGCTTTTAGCCACGTGGTTTTGCACAGTAGTCCATTGATTTAAAATGCACCAATATTTGTTCTATTATTGAAATGTGAAAAAGGCCTTTGAGATAACCCAGCAAAATAGGCCACCTCTACCACCTTTAGAAAAATAACTTTCATTTACTTTAGAGAGAAACACTATGCTTATCCACATTTGAAAAAAAGAAAGCACTACTTTCCTTTCATAGAGGAAATTAAAGGTGTCATACTGGAGAAATAGAATAAAAGTGAAAATAAGCTATCTCTTAACAGCCATGTTTCAAATTGATATCTTCTTAGAGAAAGTGAAGCCCATTTCCTTGTCTACTCACCACTAGTGAACACATCTCTCATTAGATTGGCAAGCAATATAACCCTGTCCATGGGGATGCAGTTATTTTTAAGGCTCCAGTAGATGGCAAGATTGATCTAGAGTTAAAGTAGGTTTACACATCAGCAGGAGGAATGTGTAGGCCAGCAATTACCTTAACTGCAGTGACAAAGGCAATCTTCGTTTGGACAGTGAATATTGAAACTGCTATAAGAAATAATATCAACCCAGAACAAATACATCCAGCCTTTTAAGAGCTGGTTGAGGATTTCATAGGAGAAGTATCAATTGGCCCTGCCAGGCCATTACTCGGATTAAGGGTCTGGTGTGGAATTTTAGGGGGGCCCTAATGTTTTTTTCCCTATTTTTGGGTTTGGGGTATCCCTTAAAATTCCTACCAGAACTATGGGGTCTGGTATTAATTTGTAGGGGAACCCCATGCTTTTTTTCACATTGGGGTCCCCACTAACATTCCTAACAGACCTAAAGGGTCTGGTATGACTTGGGGGGGGGGGGGATCGGCTGTTTACTTCAGATGCTGTATGGGCTATTGTAAATAACGCGTATGGCAGGCCTTTGCCTAAAGGCTAAATTTCTTGGCTCTTTAGTGAATAACTCCCCTATGTCTTAGCATCCAGTTTGCCTCAGTCTGCTGATAACTTTATCAGCCACAATACTGGTGGTTATGTGAGTGTACTAGCATATCAAAGCCCTGGATCAGTGGCACAGTTAACATCATTCACAGAGCATTTGTATGCATTTTACATTTGAGCCTCTATAAAGAGTTAATTGTCACTTGCTCGAACAGAGTTACCATCAATGTCAGCCGGAAGGGTACAGAGCACACTTTTAAGAACCCAGAGAAAGTGGATGTTCAATACCAGGAGGTGTCCAGCGTATTGAAACACAAAGCTGCATCCTTAGAGTTCCCCTCACTATCCCCTTGTCTCCAAGGGAAGAATGTACTCCTTCAGATAGACAACAGGACAGCTGTACCATATATCTAGTGCTAAGGTGGAGTGAAGAGTTGAACTCTAATAAAGGAAGTATATCTATTCATGGTTTGGGCTCAGCAGAATATTCTAAACTGAAGGCAGCATATATCCCATGGGCTAAGAACCATCTTGGGGACCAGCTCATTCATTTCCTGTATGCGGGGGACTCCGGAGGTGAACCTGTCAGCAACACCTTGGCATTCAAAAGGTTCTCACTTCATAGTCCGTTATCCTTTAGTGGAGGAGGTGGATTTCCGGCACCACCCCAGGGACTTCAGGCTGAGCTAAAAATTCCGTCCAGTTAATCTAACTTGGTTCCTGCACAAACACAGTTTTAGTAATTTGAATTATACCATTATGGGGCAGAAGGCCATGGTTACTCTGTTAAAACCCTAGCAACAGAGAAACCAATTTGTTTCCCTCTGGTCCCAGACCTGTTATCACAGAGCCAGACTCTTGATCTGTGTACAGATAAGTTACAGTACATCTCATACATAGTTACATAGTATTTGAGGTTGAATAAAGACATTAGTCCATCAAGTCCAACCTATTAGGATCTCATTCTAGGAGTACCTGTACCCCTGTATATTACGGTCCCTTAAGAAATCGTCCAAAAGTTTCTTGAACAATTCCACATTATTTGCTGAAATCACCGCCTGTGGCAGTGAGTTCCAGACCCTAACTGATCTTACTGTGAAGAACCCCCTTCGCCACCTTAAAAATGAGGATCTCATGGTGTGGAAATAAAATTGAAAGGCTGCTAAGTCTAGGCCGCTCTCAAGTGGTGTTATCCAACCTTCTAAAAGCCAGAAAAAGTTTGAGTAACAGTAACTACTGCAAGATTGGGGAGGCAATTCTTGAAATTTTTGTCCAAGAGGTGCTGGGATGCCACTTGTTGAGATCCAGCTCATATCCTTGAGTTTCTATAGGCAGGCCATGATAAGGGGCTGGCATTAAGCTCACTGAAGGTACAGGTGTTAGCGCTGTCAGTGCTCACAAACTACAGATGGACTTCTCATCCTCTGGTTGTAAGCGTGATTTGACCATTGTTTTAGATTCCTTAATAAAGAGTCCCTTTCACCCTACCAGTGTTATATAATAGAAACAAAGTTAAAGCGATATTAAACTTTGCTTTTTTTTAAATATTCGCTATAAGGAGACCCACCTTTGCTTGAGGCTGTTGTTCTTTTTCGTTAAAAGTTTTAAATTCCTCGTTTTCAAGTGGTCCCCGCATCACTCTTCCCCCCGCCCCTGCATGGGTGCCACCATTGGCTGTCCATATACAGACACAGCCCTGTGACAGGCCACTCCCCTTCTCTCTGACTAACACTTTGATTGATGGCAGAAGGAGCCTATGGCTCCTCTGCAATCAGTATCCTCTCCCAGCAACCAGGAAGTACGGGGAACGGAGGATCACTTCTGGACCAGCGGCGGGGATGAGCGTCGCTGACAGGTAAGGGTTATGGGTAAAGCGTTGTAGTCTTTCCTGCCCTTCCCCCTCTTATGTGCTGGCCTTTAAGTGTAGTCCCCTCCTTTATGTTAATTTACCCATAACAACTATGCCACCAGGTTTATTTGGACTTGATTACATATAACCACTGTTACCATATGTATGTTTGCTTATGTTTTATACACTCCTGGTTAACCTACAGACCTTGTTTTGGATCCGCGTGCAGGTGTTCTTTTCTGTGTATATCATATGTTACTGGTATGTTTTGTGTTTTATAAACCTAAAAACCTTAATAGAAATTTCTTGAAAAAAACCCCACAATCTTGCCCCCACACACATGACACAAAAGTATGCGTCAGGTGCACCTACATATGAAGGCGACGATTATGCAACATATGTTAGAGTGAACGCAAGAATAACACATGTTAGAGTGAACATAATAATTCTAGGGCCATTATTCATGGTTAACTCTAAGCAGATGACCTGTAAGAATTTTGTGTTGCCTATGGAAAAGTTTGGGTACCAATGTTTTTTTTTACTGTTTCACAGGTGCATGCAATGGTATGGCTTGATATGTTTGGTATCTATCAAACACAACTGCAACTTTTTATATTTTACCAAAAGAATGATTATTATATTTGTCAGGACCGGCTGTGGACGCACGCTGTCAGAGCAAATAGTGATTAGTTGTTTCACCTTTAGCAGCCGCCGTTCCCATAAGGCAAACACGCCTACCAGTACTTAGATGCCCCCAGGACTTAAACTATTTGCTCTGATC